GGAGCTTCAGTCGGGCTGCCCTCCCGTCACCCCCCCCCTACACCTCCCCCTCTGCCGCCCGGTGCAGAGAGTTCCTCTCGAGCAGGCCGAGCTAGGAGTGGGGGGGTACGGAAAATAGGAGGGGGCTGTGTTGTTTGTTTTTAAACGAAGTGTGCGTGTGCACATGCACTGTTGGGTGCTTGTGCGCATCCCGTGGAGACTTGGGGGGGGGGGAACCTTTTAGCGACGGGACATGGGCGGGCGCCGGATGCCACGACCTACCACCGGAAACGCAATTAGGCGCCCGCCCTTGCCCCACGGTTTCCGGAAACTAGTACCTCGGAGGTACTAGTTTTTTACCCCGCATCTTCAGCGGGAAGCCTCGGGTTCGCCACGGGAGCTCTACGCTTCCCAGATGTGGCGCTGTGATTGCGCCCGGAAAATCCGCCTATCTTCCGTCTCTATAGCGTGGCTAATGCTCCGTGTGACCGCAGCCAATGAAGTGTTTTGATGAGGTTTGGGGCCAATCTGCATTGTGGGAGATATTTTTTGAGAGGTGTGGAATGACATGTTATTGTCTGGCTATGAACCAAACACTGGCCGTTAATCGTCGCTGGAATGAACAGGGTGGGCTTGGACCAAAGCCGCAGAAAAGGTGCCTTGATTAAGAAGGGGCAGTGTTTCCATGGTAACTGGGCCTGAGCGTCTCAGATTGGCATTTTATTGTGTCTGATAGAAGATGGAGTCCTCCACCCTCTGGCTTTGGATGGGATCCAGAAAAGCTCGAAAGCATCATTCCCAGGGTCTGTATGGGTATGTGGGGAAGGGGGTACGTGAGGTAAAAACACTCCCGGCTTCCCTTGCATTTCTTAGTCTCTCGGCTGGGCCACCAGTGGACATATATCTGCCCATGCCAAGTGGATACCAGACCGCTGTGGTATTTGTGGAGGAACAGAGTCAAGGTGGCTCGGAGCTGCTGAGTATTTATGTGCATACAGAAGAGTCATAACTGTACTTTCGTTTTCTTCCTGAAAAAGGGCCTGCGATTGGTAAGCCTGAGCTCATATCCTGGCTGGAGGAAGAGGAAGAGCTGTTTCGCCAAGGCTCTGATGAAGTGGAACGATTGGCAGGAAGTTGCCCAGGTCTGTATCCAGTGCTCCCTCTAAGCTGTGGAGTCTTGTGAGCAAAAATTCTGCTTTGTGAGCTACTGGCATGAAAGTTGTGAGTGAGCCATTGGGCGACTGCTTCCATTAGTCTGCTCTGGAGCCATCCTTTCTAAGCTAAGACAAAAATGTGTGAGCCGGAGGCTAAAAACCTGCGAGCTAGCTCACACTAACTCAGCTTAGCGGGAACACTGGTCTATAGTAGGACTAATGTCTGGTAGCTCTGGGGTTCCTTCCAAGTGACAGTGGATTTCCACAGGGAGGCTTTTCTAGCCCAGCTTAAGCATATTGTTTTGTGTTATGTTACACTAGAAATAAGGCCCGTTGTGGAAATAAATACAACGGGATCTAGAAAGAGGCTCTGGAAGAGTGGTCTGGCTTTGGGCAAACAGTGTCAGTCTGCTTTTAAAACATGAATCTGGGACCTGCACACCACCGGAATACAGCAGATTCCATATGCAACTGACATTCCAACTGCCTTGTGGGGGGGGGGAGTTTGAGGTGTGGAATGGAGTGAAGTCCAATCAGCTTCCATATGCAAAAGACCAGGTTGTCGCAGCAGTTGTGGTGTGGGCGGGACCCGGGCTTTGCCTTCTGATTGGTGGTGATATATGCTGAGGAGCAGTGCCATCAGCCATACACTAAGGGAGTGCATTTTAGAATTAGAACTTTGGCACCCACTATTCAATTATATATAAGGAGAGATTGGTTACTGGAGGATTGTACAAGGTTGGCTTCTCTATCATAAAAGAAGTTACAATTATTTACACAGTACCCAAACTATAGTATTTAGGTATAAGGCAAATATAGGATTTGTTGTAAAGCAAAACAATGTAACTCATTCAACTTGTTATTTTATTGTTAATAATAATAATAATAACAATAACAACAACAACAACAACAACAACAACAATAATAATGCTTTCGATTTATTAATCGCTTTCCCCACAAGTGGGCTCAAAGTGATTTACAGTTACTTTTTAGACAGGGGACTAACAATGTTCTTCATAGGGGATAGGGAAGACAACATATAATTCATTTAAGTTGCACACGCCGTACTGCCCGGTGGAAACGTTTCTGGCTTGACTCAGTCATGTTCCAACAGCTGCATCGCCACACTGCCACCGCCTGGCCGGAGCATCCCACTACAGGGATTTTTCTTAGGAAAATGTTTTTGTTGATATGGTAATAATATGTATGAATTGGTGTTTTAAAATCAAAATTTAATTGAAAAAAATGACATGTTATTGAATTTAATTGAAAAATTAATTGAAATTAATTGAAAAAAGAGGAAAAAAAAGAAAAGCACCAGTCACTAAGACTCAAACAAAACAAAAATGGAAAAAGCTGATAAGTTTGCATATTATCCATACATTTCTTCCTTTCCCACTGTCCCATCAGCTTCTTCCTGCTCCTTTTGGTCTGTCTGTTCATTTTTAGGGCAGAATAGCCTGACCTCAAATTCTTCCCCCCCCCCCCAAACATCTGTTATTCCTCATTTTAGGAGTTCGTTGCTTCTCATGAAGAGCACTGTAATAGACTGTCAAATGAGATGTATTTTTATATGGCTGTTAACCTGGGTCCTGGTTTGCCTGGGAGACTGGCAGGTGTATAAATAATTTAAATCAACAAAGAAAAGTTATGTACAGCTTGAAAATCTGAAGCTGTCTTCTACCTAGCCAGGGCATTGTTCGATCCAGCCAAGTATTGTCCACTCTCGCCGGCAGGTTCATTGTGGGAGATATTTTTGAGAGGTGTAAAATGCCTCATTGTGGACCAAACACTGGCCGTGAATCATAGCTGGGGTGTATCATTGGGCGGGGGGAGCACTGGAGAGCTACAGAATAGGTGTCTTGAAAAAGGAGTGACAGTGTTTCCATTAGAATTGGGTTTCTGCTTCTCAGAGCGGTGTTTTACATAAGAACATAAGAGACGCCAATGTTGGATCGGGCCAAAGGCCCATCCAGTCCAACACTCTGTATCACACAGTGGCCAGAAATACCAGCGCCATCAGGAGGTCCACCAGTGGGGCCAGGACACTAGGAGCCCTCCCACTGTTGGCCCCCCCAAGCACCAAGAAGACAGAGCGTCACTTGCCCCAGAGCCCCTTTCTATACCTTGTGGCTAATAGCCACTGATGGACCTCTGCTCCATATGCCTGTCTAATTCCCTTTTGAAGCTGTCCATGCTTGTAGCCGCCACCACTTCCTGTGGCAGTGAATTCCATGTGTTAATCGCTCTTTGGGTGAAGAAGTACTTCCTTTTATCCGTTCTAACCCGACCGCTCAGCAATTTCATGGGGTGCCCACGAGTTCTTGTATTGTGAGAAAGGGAGAAAAGTACCTCTTTCTCTACCTGTACTTTCCCATGCATAATCTTGTAAACCTCAATCATGTCACCCCTCAGTCGTCTTTTCTCCAAGCTAAAGAGCCCTAAGCGCTTTAACCCTTCCTCATAGGGAAAGTGTTCCAACCCTTTTATCATTCGAGTTGCCCTTTTCTGCACTTTTTCCAAAGCTATAATATCCTTTTTAAGATGTGGTGACCAGAACTGCACACAGTATTCCAAATGAGGTTTCACCATTGATTTATATAGGGGCATTATGATATTGGCTGATCTGTTTTCAATACCCTTCCTAATAATTTTACTGCTTCTGAGTTGATAGACGATGGAGTCCCTTGCCCGTCTGGCTTCAGATGGCCCCTGGGACTCAGGGAAGTGCCAAAGCATCGTTCCTGGTCTATGTGTGCATGTCTGTGTGTAGATGTGGGGTTAAAAACTCCACTGGCTTCCATGCCATTTCTGGGCAAGTAGTGGGTACATACGTGCCAATTCCAGAAAGATGAACTTTGGTCCAACATTGGTCCAACTGTCGTAGTTGTGGAGGGACAGAGTCAGGGTGGATTTGAACTGCTGGATATTGATGTGTACGTAGAACAGCTATAAATATTGTTTTGTTTCCTCCTTTAAAAAGGACTTCTGATTGCCAAACCTGAGTTCATATCCTGGTTGGAAGAAGAGGAAGGGCTCTTCGTCCATGGCTCTGATGAAGTGGAGAGATTAGCAGGTAGGTGCTTAGGTCTGCAGTGGGCTTCCAGTTGGGTGAGAGGCCTCATGGGGCCTGTAGTGGTTGGGTGAGAGGCCTCATGGGGCCTGTAGTGGGCTTTTCCTACTGTGTGAGACAGGATGCTGGGCTAGATGGAGAGAGAATGTGGGCTATATTATCACACTTCCCAGGTCAGTCAGCAGATCTGTCCCTGGGTAAAGACTCACAGTTTTCTCCTCCACCTGGTGAAACTCTTCTGACTTCCAGTTCACATCAGAGAAGCTTCTCTCTACTCATAATGGTCAAAGTGAAAGCTATTCCCCTGTCAGTAATATTAACTCCTAATCAATCAATAGAATCTTGTGTGTCACAGGTCCCCCAAGTTTTTTAACTGTGTACAGACAGAAAACTTTTCTGTTCTTGCATTCTCCACAGCAGTTCATTTAGTTGATTCCTTGACTTTCAAGCTTTTCCCCACAGTGTTCATGTCGTTCCTTTTTCTGTCAGCAGGAGGTGTTTGGGAGTCAGCGAATGAAAAGAAAGAGCATGCACTGACAAAGAAAGAATATATACATCCAGATGTGAAAGAGAGAATTGAATATTGTGATGTTGTGAAGAAGGAGGAGACAGAACATCCATATAATAGGAGCAGTAATTCTGGTCCTTTAAAGAATGGTTATTCTCATGAAATTCCATTAATTCACAAAAACAGCAGGGAATGCCCAGCAAGTGTGGAAATTTATCCTGGAAAATCAGACATCAATATACACTGGAACTCGCATAACAGAAAGAAAATATATAAATGCCTGGAGTGTGGGAAAAGCTTTGGCCAGGAAGCTAAATTAACTTCCCATCAAAGAATTCACACAGGAGAGAAAAAATATAAATGCCTGGAGTGTGGAAAAAGCTTCAATCAAAGTGGAAATCTTACTACTCATCAAAGAATTCACACAGGGGAGAAAAAATACAAATGCCTGGAGTGTGGGAAAAGCTTCAGTCGTAGTTCATATCTTAATTCCCATCAAATAATTCACACAGGGGAGAAACCATATAAATGCCTGGTATGTGGGAAAAGATTTAGTCAGAGTGGAAGCCTTACTTCTCATCAAAGAATTCACACGGGTGAGAAACCATATAAATGCCTGGAGTGTGGGAAAAGTTTCAGTCAGAGTTCACATCTTACTTCTCATATAAAAGTTCACACAAAGGAGAAGCCATATCAATGCCTGGAGTGTGGAAAATGCTTTGTTCAGAGTGGAAGCCTTACTTCCCATCAAAGAATTCACACAGGGGAGAGAAAATATAAATGCCTAGAGTGTGGGAAAAGCTTCAGTTACAGTGGACATCTTACTGCCCATAAAAGAATCCACACAGGAGAGAAACCCTATAAATGCCTGGAGTGTGGAAAAAGCTTCAATCAGAGTTCACACCTTACTTCCCATAAAAGGATTCACACAGGGGAGAAAGAATATAAATGCCTGGAGTGTGGCAAAATCTTTGGGCGGAAGGATAAGTTAATTTGCCATCAAAGAATTCACACAGGGGAGAAACCCTATACATGCCTGGAGTGTGGGAAAAGCTTCAATCAGAGTGGAAACCTTACTTCCCATCAAAGAACTCACATATAGAAATGCTGTGAAAAGATGTTGCATCAAAGCAAATAGGACTGAAAAATTAGAAAGCAATGGGATAAAAGAGTATCATCAGTAGAAGAAGAGGAAATTGGATTTATACCCCGCCCTTCACTTGGAGTCTCAGAGCGGCTTACAAACTCCTTTCCCTTCCCCTCCACACAACAGATACCCTGTGAGGTGGGTGGGGCTGAGAGAACTCTGACACAAACTGCTCTTTTCCAAGGACAGCTGTGCCAGATCTTGTGACTGACCCAAGGTCACATCAGCAGGTGCAAGTGGAGGAGTGGGGAATTAAACCCGGTTCTCCCAGATTAGAGTACGCGCACTTAACCACTACACCAAACTGGCACTACACCAGTAGACATCCTCAGTTGATATGGGTCCGTTTTTAAAGACTGTATCAGTTTTAGGCACCTCTGTTTTATATTAGTTTTATATTTGACTTACCTTTCCCTCCTTTCCCCCATCCTTGGGTTAAAATGTGTTGGAAACACCCATAATAATATGGAGTCATTTTGATGCAAGCAATTAAGCCGGACTCTTTGATATGAACTTCTCCCGCCTTCATTTTCAAACATCCCTCTGGCTAAGCCCAGATCTGTTGCATTCTGACTCACCGGCCCCACTTTTTGACCCCAGTCTTTTGAATAAGGTCCAGGAGGTTCATTTAGAAGATAAAGATATTCACAACCGGTGTTCTCTCTAAGCTGAGTTAGTGTGAGTCTTTTAGCCTCCCGCTCACACATTTTTGTCTTCGCTCAGGAAGGGTGGCTCCAGAGCAAACTAATTTTGCAAACTTAATCCAGAGCAACTTTATGCAGCAGCCAAATCGCTCGCTCACAACTTTATGCAGCAGCCAAATCGCTCGCTCACAACTTTAATGCCAGCAGCTCACAAAGTTGAACTTTTGCTCATAAGACTCCACAGCTTAGAGGGAGCATTGTTCACAACCCCTGTGATTTCTTAGCTGCACAAAGCTTCCTAGTTGTTGAAACTCCAAAAACCTCATGACAAGTGAAATGTCCTGGCTACCAAAGTCTCTGCTTGGAATGCCTGTCTACTTAGCTCACCATACATCTAGCACCAATGGTGGGTGAAGGAACCTGTATGAGTTGTAGAAAACATATATTCCCTAAACTTTAAAAGAGTTGGTCTCCCCTCTTTCTAAACTCTAGACAGATAGCTCTGGCCATCCCTCCCTCCATATTTTCAGCATCTTCCAAGATGGAACAATTGTGTGTCTGTGGGGATAAAGCATTAATTATCCTTTCATTTTAGCAAATGAAGGGATATTTTTTTTACAATTTACTTGAGGTCAGTACATATTTTACCCAGTCCTCAAGAACTGAGACAGGGTCTTCTGATGTTTGTCTCCCCAACAATTCCAACTTTAATTTTTTCTCAGTCTGATGGACTTCATTCTTGCAGAGCTCTTTTCCCTCAATAATTTCCAACCGAGGCTCTAATGTCCGTTGCTATAAATGCTAAAAGCACAGGTGAGCTGTCATGGTTCCTCTTCCACATTAGCTGACTGAGAAGAAATGCTCAGTGACTTCTCTCTCCTTGCTAAATCAAAGCCCTCTTGTTCTCAAGATGGCCTCCTTTGAAGACAAGTTGCTAAATTTATACCAGTCCTCCGAGAACAACAACATATGCTTCCTAAACTCAAGTTGTCAAAGGACGGGTTAACTATCTTCTCAGATGGGGAACAGAAGCCAAATCCATTCTGTACCCACCAACCTCTCAGGCTTTGGTATAATCCCATGGATCTGGCAGGCCCACCTTTACAAGGCCTCTACCTCTAGGTCCATCTCCCCAGCCTCTTTGAGAGTCTCCAAACTAGCAGGCAATGAGGCTTTTAGATGATACCAAAATCAGCCAGGGCTGTTTGGATTTCCCAACTCTCCCCCGTCCTTCCTTTGAGTCCACACATCAAGTACTCTATTTTTTTATTATTTATATTATTTACAGAATTTGTACTCTGCTTTCTGCCTGTCATCAGGGTGACCAAGATGGCTACCAGATTAAAAACATACATAATAAAAATAGATTCTTAAAAACGATTAGAAGAAGAAGAGACTGGGTTTATACCACCCTTCACTCGGAGTCTCAGAGCGGCTTACAAACTCCTTTCCCTTCCCCTCCCCACAACAGACACCCTGTGAGGTAGGCGGAGCTGAGAGAGTTCTTTTCAGAACTGCTCTTTCAAGGACAGCTCTTGTCAGAACTATGGCTAGCCCAAGGTCATCCAGCAGCTGGAGGAGTGGGGAATCAAACCGGGTTCTCCCAGAGTAGAGTCCGCGCACTTAACCACTACACCAAAATGGCTGATTACAACCCAGCAAACACACAACACACATCACTCAAGCACTTAAAAACCAAGCTAAATCACACATACAGTACAATAAAGTACACATACATAGATAAAAAGAACAATTTCCTTTCCAGGAGAAAAATTCAATAGCAGAGAAACTTTGTTCACTGGTTGGTTTTAATTTAGATTTTAACTTGAGCATTTGTATATTATTTCCTTGTAAGCCGCCCTGAGCCCTATTTGTAGGGAGGGCGGCCTGGCAAATCCAATTAAATAAATAAAAAAATTATAAAGATGATGTCATGGAATATAGCAGGCTAGTCCAGGAAATCTTCCCATTGTTAATGGATCTGGCATCGAAGGCTTCACAATATTCTTCTTTTTCAAGAAATTTGGTACATCAAAGCAATTGGTTTCCTTGCCTATGGGAGAGATGGAATTGAGCGCTCCATTGGCTCTGTTTTCCCGCTGCCGTCTTCCAGCGTTCTGCAGGATTCTGAGGACACTTTCAGATTTTCACTTTAACCAGGTGTCTATCTGTTGATGCCTCAACTCTGTGCAAACTGGTTTGGGGATGGCAGTTGTGAACAGCCTTTACATGTGTTTATGAAAGGTATTTGAAGCACTATTCCCGTTTCAAACTGTGCTGGTTCCCCCCCCCTCCCCCGTGGCTCTGCACTTTTTTTTAACGGTTCCAACTTTTGTGATATGCCGATATACTACTATGGTGATATGGTATATGGGAGTTTGCAGTTGTCAAGTTTTCATTGAAAAATAAGTAGTTAAGCACTGATGGGTGTTACACACTGACAGGTGTTTCAGTATGTCACCCACCAAAGTTTTTTCCCCTCCTCAACTCAGATGAACCTGTTAGAGGTTTGCGGCAGGTATGTGCTGTTGGTCAACTGATTCCGTTCACATCACCTGACCTGGGGCCTTTGACTTTGAACAATTAACTGCTGTTTAGCCACGTAGCCTGTGAATTGCAAGCAATGATTGGCCAGTAAGTGACCTGTTGCAAAGAGTCTTTACCTTAGGTATAGATTTAACGGCGGCTAAATATCTCTTTGTGGATTAAAGTGAGGCTTATCTGGTCCCAGAACAGTGGAAAACATCAATGAACAGAGGGGCCTTCTTTTGGCATCATTCCTGGCTTATTTGCTTCAGTTTGAAACTAGGGAGTTTCCTGATAAGATGCACAAAGCTTGGCAGACTTTCTGGACCCAGAAAGATGTTTGTTTTGGGAACACTCAAGAGTCTTTCTATCCCACAGCTTTACTTCTCAGGTTTCCTTCAGCTGGGGCACTTGTAATTTCAAAATATACATTCCATTCCATTATTTTCTGAATCTATCTAAAAGAACCTTTGGCAATTAAAAACACTCTAATTAATTCTACCCCAAGTCTCTTCGGCCTGGGCTAAATGCTAACATCTAAATTTACTTTAATCAGGCTTCTGGCACAGTGACAGCTGGCATTCTACATATCAAGAGAAATCAGAAATCACATTCATCAAGAAGAAGAAGAAGAGATTGGATTTATACCCCGCCCTTCACTTGGAGTCTCAGAGCGGCTTACAAACTCCTTTCCCTTCCCCTCCCCACAACAGACACCCTGTGAGGTGGGTGGGGCTGAGAGAACTCTTGACACAAACTGCTCTTTTTCAAGGACAGCTCTGCCAGAGCTTGTGACTGACCCAAGGTCACATCAGCAGGTGCAAGTGGAGGAGTGGGGAATCCAACCCGGTTCTCCCAGATTAGAGTCCGCATACTTAACCACTACACCAAACTCACATCCATTGAACCCTTGTCCTACAGTATGTTTGATGTCATTGCCAAATTTCTCACAGTGTTGGAGGTGGGGTCGCTGATCATCAAGAGTTGATTTTTATAATTGCTTTTGTGAGGCTGGCATCGTTCTGCCCATAGATCCAGGCTGCATTTCCCAAGTGCCGTGCCCTCAAGATATTGTTGGAACGTATCCATGAGGGTACATTGGCCAGCCTTTGCATCACAGGCAGCCCCTCATGGGCTCAACCAAAAACAGCAGCGACCGATGGGAAGACTTCGTTATGATCTGTTGGAACAATCCACAGCGGCTAGCAGGTTTTTGTATGTCCCACGCAACTCTGTTTGAAATTGAGGAGGCCGTAAGACAGCGGTTACAGTGTGATGGTACTCATGTGCGTTTTGGAGTTCCAGTGGAAAAAACAGCAGCGATTTCTGTACGGTATCTTGCAACTTGCCCTGATTTCAGTGGCCCAGACTAGCCCGATCTCCTCAGGTCTCGGAAACTGAGCAGGGTCAGCCTTGGTTAGTACTTCGATGGGAGACCGCAGACGTCCACGGTCGTGACGCAGAGGCGGCAATGGCAAACCACCTCTGGATGTCTCTTGCCTTGAAAGCCCTACCAGGTCGCCATAAGCCGGCTTCTTCTTGATGGCGCTTTCCACCCCATCTCGCAAACCAAAGACTGCTTTTATGTGGACATTCAAATGCCTCTTGTCAAAGAGGTGTATATGAAAAAGAACTCCTGAAGGAAAATGTTTGCCTTGGCAATGAGATAGGAAAGGTGAGTACCCTTGTTCTCTGTCTGCTACTACCTGATTTCTCTTGCATTTGGAATTCACTATTGTTTTTAACACCATGCAATGATAGTTTTTGGTAATATAATAACCGCAG